ATATTATGGTCGTTGTATAATAAACGTTAATAATACGGTGAGACTACATTGGTAATTTTTTTAAAGCTGATTATAAAATATATTTGACTAAACTTCTAATTCACTGATTATATAAGCGTGCATGTAAGACTAGTCCAATTATGTTTCTCATTTTAACATACTTAATCGGTATAAGTATATCTATTTAAGTTAAGTTAAATATTTAATAACAACGATATAATTCACCATATTTTAAACAGTATCGAACTGAGTGGTATGTCTTTACTAGCCATAATTGTATTATCTATATTATAAAATAATACAAATCTTAATATATTTACTATAGGTAGATATCGCATGTTTAAATATATTAAAATCATGTTATACGTCCTCAAATTTTGTAAAACATTATAATACTACAATAGAATATTAACAATAAAATCATCGCCATAACAAACAACAGAGTCATAATTGAACATTCGATTGATAACAAAAGAATACATTACTAAAATTGAATAATTTCTAAAGTTACTAACTATTAATCAATCAACAATTATTGTTTGATATTTTGTTGCACTTATTTTATTACCATATTGTATTTCAGACCGATTTATCATACACAAGTGACTAGTTAGTTCTGAAATTACCTTATCCCCGAGGACAATACGCTGACTATAGGTGCATCAATTATTAATGCGCATACTCCAAAATATATGTTGATCGTGTTACGGTTTTGTTACGTATGTACACCTTTAATGGTATATACTATATAAAGTATAAACATATGCATGTGTAAATATGCGCATTTATATGTATAGATCCCATTATAAGTGATAACAATAACTATAACATGAATTATATGCCAACATTGACTGACCTATTGAATGCAACATAAACACAATAAATATATAGTAGAAAAATTCACATTGCGCCTGTACAAAAAATGGTATTTATAAAATGAATGCGTCACGAAATAACGTTTTATGATGAATTATAAAATATTTCATATCGTGCGTAATAAAATATCAATTAGTTTTTTTTTCCGCAAACACTAACAACGATGAAATAAATCACGTCAAGATGCTGAACATCACTACTATATAATGTGAGTCTAATATGTTAAATACCATGCTTATGCAATAGTTTAACGGTAAATAATTATTATTGAGTTCAAAGCAATTTATTTAAAATCACCTATCAAGGAATTATATTTTTTTGTTTTATTTTGTTTTGTTACTTAACCTATAATAACTAACATAAATCCTAGAAAAAATGTTTGTTGGATATAACAAAAAAAAAGTCCCCAACTTAGTCACGTAAACTCTGTTATAATTGTGTTTAGAAAATACCAACAGTACTACAGGAACACAATAAACACTAAAGTGGTAATAATGAAACGTTAAATCATTTAATGATAAATGAATTTAGATGTGTATATATATATTTTATGTCAATGTGCAAAATTTGTGACTCATTCTTAAATGAGTACATTTAATATTAAATTATTACCTATAATATGTTTAAATAAAAAAAAAAAAAAAATTAAGAGTATTATAAATATTTGAATATAGTATGGTATTTATAAAAATGAATAATATCTTGAATTAATCATATTCTAAATTAAACAATAATAAATATTTTCTTTAAAAAATTTAATCTTATTGAAATATAATTTGAACCTGAAGGTTTTATATATATATAAATAATTTATGTATTAAACTTGATACTCTTGAATATAAAATAACTACTTAATATATTTATTATTTTTAAACAATCAAATTGTTAACAATGTTTAATCTCACACGATTATAATTTATTTAAACGAAAGTCTTAAATGAATAAAAACTACCTATTATTAGTAATAACTTTAATAAATGTTAATTGGTTGTAATATCTATCTTATTTTCTAAATTTCTAAATCTGTTAAATAAGTATGTAAACTATATTATAGATATTAAAGAACTTTTATTTAACAAGTGTTTTCTTCCATGAATTCTTAATTTTGTTGAACTAATTAAATATAAATCAATTATTTTGTTTTCAAAAAATGATGGTTCTTTATATTTTTAACTTTTTAAGATTTCATTGTATTTTTTGACGGCAAAATTTGTACACAACTTTTTTGTTACGTGTTTTGACATTCGTTATGGTGACATTGTTCATTACTATGAAATGCACGCGTAAATTATATATATCTACGTTAAGCGAAATTGGTTTTGGAGTTTCTTGCAATTCAAATGTCATTTTCGTGATCCAATATCTCTTACGCTGATTGGTTTATATGCATTTATTTTTTATTTTTTGTTTATTTTTATTATTTTTCTAAATCTGTTTTTAAACCATAATAAATGAAATTTTTTCACCTTATCTCTATTTTACTGTATCTTTTTGATACATTAAATAATTTTATCAAAGGTGTACAAGAAATTTTATTATAGAATTTGTAATATTATGCTCTTCTTCCTCTCTTGTAAAGAGTTCCATTTTGATAAAATCAAATATATTTTAAAATTATTACGAAAGATAAAATACGTCATTAATCTGAAACATTTAAGCGGAATTAGATAACGTTATTACTAACTTGATAGTTGTTTCGGAGACAACGATGAACGAATACGACATTATAAAATCATTTTATTCTCGTCTTCGATAAAAATTGTAGGTATATTGTATTATTACAGTGTTAACTGTTAAATGAATAATAAAAGACAACTCCTAATCACCGCTTACTACTGTGTACATTATATTTTATAATACTTGCATTAATATACATAATATCATATCCTAGAATTGCATAAATCGACATTATTGTTCTAAATAATACGTAATAATTACATAACTTACTATATTAAGTACATTAAATAGAAATGTTGTATGTAACTGAAACGTCATAATAATTATTACTCTGTCGTTCCTCCGTTATTAAACATGAGTAACACTAACATCAATGTAACAGAAAATAATATTTTAAAGACTATTGATACGTTATAGTGATCACACGTATCAATAATTTTTATAATAAATCTATGCACATTGCACCCATTGTTATTCTTTTTTCGGACAGTTAGCATATATTTATCGTCGTGTCTCACGTATAGAATGCAGGTGAATACAGCACAAAAAATATTTATATATAATTAATGCATATAATTGCAACTGAATAATTAAATGAGTACAGACGACATGTATAAATAACCTATTACCTAATTAAATTTTAATAGACGTCCTACTCAGCGTTGAGAAAATATATCAACAATCCCTACCATAGACTTGTTAATTTGTTTATTATTTAATGTTTAAAACTTGACCTATTGCTCAGGGTAATCCTTTAAAGGGTCCTTTGTATTAAAACGGTCTGACGTATCTACCAGAACAAAATCGATGTGTTTTCACGTTACATGCAGGTAAAACAACCATACGACTTGTCTTTTCCAGACCCATGAACATAATATTATTTCAAGTATGATTGAACATTAAACATTGTATAAGCTTGAAAACACTCGGTCGTTATAATCACGTATCATTTACTTTTAAATTTGTGTGTACGTTAGTGTAGGATTAATTTTCCTGTTCAAAAGGTGAACACTTTCCTAATATTTTCAAGAACTATCGATAGCTCCTACATTGGATACAATCATAATACGTATAAGTATATAACGCATTCAAGAAACGTAATTATTATGTTAATTAATTTTACTTTTTTATAAAAAAAATATTTGTAAAACATTTGAATACTATATTTTATAAGACTATTATTACTCATATGTATTTAAGTATTTATTTTATAATAAAACTTACTAACTTTCCTTGAGTACTTTGTTGTACGTTAAAAATGACACCTCTAATATGATTCAAACTTTGTTAAATCCGTAATTTAATACTTAATATTAAAAACTTTGAAAAACAAGTATTTTAGAATTTAAATTAAATTTATAAAATGTGTGTTGTTTAGAAATAAATCAAAAACTAAAGTGGTAAATAAAAGTCAGACGTTATCCTGCTCATGACGGTGAGTTCTTTAGTAAAATGAAGACCGTCAACTATGACGTCTTAAATAATGTGTTAAAATATCTAAAAAACCGAACTATAATCGAACAAAACAAAATACGATAATAGCTGTAAAAATATGTGTTAACCTAGATATCAAATGGGTGGTTTTGACTAAATATAAAATACAGGTATACAGTTTATTCAATTATAATTAATATTTTATTTTCTGTAACAAATGACAACTCTATAGAAAATAATCATTTTTCGTGAATTAACAAATCTCTACGTGAGCTCTTTTTAAAAAATGCAAATTTTATTATGAAACAAAAGTCCTCTCATAATTCTAAAATTCCAAGTCTCTACCTATTGTAGTTTAGGTTTTATATTGATTTTATGTCAGTTATAGTAAGGCCTTATTTATACTATTTATAGATTATAATAATTAACGTTTGAATAATGATAGTGTTGACTATCTAATTTGTGTACCGATATTTTGTAACTAAAACCATGAACTATATTTATGATGAATGAAATATTTATTTACAAATTAAGATAATGAATTTTTGTAAATCACTCTCCCACCATGGATCGTCTTGATTACTATTGTACATATGTGTATATTTGGTTTTGACATTTATTTTTTAGTGCATGTAAATAGTATGTGTTATTGAATTTACTCGTGCGTGTGCGTTAACCATAAATTATAAATCGGTAGAACTTATGTAACACATTTATATTTTTAATAGTGACAAATTTAGGGCACATAATTCTACAGTGACCAAAAACGTACTAAGTTAGAGGTAAACATACAGCCTTGGTGCGAGTTTATTGTTATTTATTTAATATAAAAGCGTTGGCCGGTCACACGCTATAGAATCGTCTGCAGCTAGCTGCTAGGCATAGTCGATTGTCTCTGTGGGGAGTGGCTGTTTTTAAATTTCTTAAAAAATATTGTACTATGACATACTCCTCGGGGTAGATCATCGTAAGCAATTAACAATTTTTATATGTTATCAGTCTGAGCAAAAAAAAAAAAAAACAAAACAAAACAAAACACACGCACACTTGTACGGAAAAATGTTTGGACATAACTCATTATATTATTATAAGTAGATCACGTGTGGTATAAATACAGCAGTAGCAGCAAGGTTTTGATCAATATAATTCTGTGAGGAACAGATCGCGTGCAACTTAAATCCAACAACATAATGGTTTTTAAGGTATGACATTTTGAAATTTTTATTTTATTTTATTATATTATTCGTCATAGTAAATAACTTTCTTAGAAAATATTATTTTTGTAATTAACTCGTTCTTCGTCAATATCAAATTACCGACGGTTTTATAATTTTTTACGTTTAATTTAAAATGACCACTAATTTATACACACGCTACATTTTGAAAGTCAATAGTTCTACAGATTTTGAATTTTCGATTATTATCGGCGATATTGATGTGTTGATACTTTTAAGTAAACAATATAATCTCTGATTGTTTTAGAATTCAACAGCCGTTAAATAATAAGATATAAATTTCAAAAATATAAATGAATAACGATCCAAAAATAACATTTACATAAACATTGATTTTCGTTCAGTTAAATTATTCAACTAGATTCTATTTTGTTTTCGTGTTTATAGCGGTTACGCATATGTTTTTTGTAGACTCCCGTTTAAATCTTCAATTTTCACTTTTGTTCATGTCGTCTTATATCGGTCATTTATCGGCATATCGGACAGAGACAATTGTTGAATACATAATAACACACGATATTGTGCAGTGTTGGTGTCAAAAACACGTATAGGTACTATGAAACATATTTATTGAATACAATAAGAGAAACATAATATCAATCTCTTTGAAGTTTGAATACATTCAATTGAAAAAAATAACTTACTTGAGTGTGTCCATATATATATATATTTTAAACTTTCCTCGTTTGGTTTCTATTCGTTATTTATTACTGTATGCTAGCCACGTAACATTTAATAGATGTAAAATTATTCTACATTCGTATTTGCTACGCACACAACATTAGCGATTTCGCGTAATTGGATTTTAATCCGTAAATAAATATAAACAAATAATCGGATTTATAAAAGTTTACATTATTACACCGAAAACGCGTACAGTGATCAGTAATACGCGAATATTTCAAGCACGCAGTACCTATACGCGAATTCGTACCGAAACAGTAGGTAATAACATTAATAATTATGTGTTGTCACAATCGCAGGTTGTTATTTCGGCTTCAGCCGTCTATGCCGCCGTCACCGGATCTCCGGTGTACCCATCATCCACCTACTCGGCACCTGTCCCGCGCAGTTTCAAGTATAACGTAAACGACCCGTACACTTACGACGTCAAAGGCCAACGCGAGTACAACAACGAAAACGATTACGTCAAGGGTTTTTACAGCCTTCTGGAGATCAACGGTTCCACGCGCACCGACGAATATACCACCGACGATCGCAGCGGTTTTAACGCCGTCGTCAAGAACGAATCAAAGGTCCTGTCGTATTCGACACCAGCGCACGAGGCACCGTACGGCGTCCCCGACTTTTAAACCGGCTTAGTGATGAAGAAACGGCTGTCACTTACTACGCGTGTCACCGTCACGCGTGATGCGTTCAATCTCCTATAATTTATTCCGATTTTTCAATTTACCGTCGTTTTGTTTGTTTGCGGCGGTAGATTAAAAAACTATGCGCCCGTCAAGAAAATGACATTTGTTTTTTGCTGTTCCTGTAATCACCGTTACAACAGCGCACGCGTACTACTGCCGCGACTGCCGCGACGACGATTCGAAAAACCGTTTCGTCGCCACCGCCGAAAAACACTCGAGCCCCGAGTTCGGTTGACAGTTCGGAGTGTTGAGCTTACGGCCGCAATTACATGTTCGGCAAATTTGGGTAATCAGAGGAATTACGTCCATTGAGATGCAGTTGCATTCGACTGCACGATTATTCATAATTAATTTAATAATGCACTTATGCAGGGTCTCCAGTTTTCTCGGAGACATTACGGAGAGACCTTGTCATTATAATAACGCCGTTAGGAAAATTATTTCGTAAATTATTCCGTTAAAATCGTGAATACTTGTGAGTATTATGTTTCGAAAAAATGTCACTGCATGTGACACGTTATAACATCAAACATTCCATTAGGGATATTATAATTATTTAAATCATATTAGACTTTTTTTCATGCAAATCGTTATAATACTATTTTACAAGAATGAATTAATATTTTACGAAAAGAGTTTTTATCGGGATTTCAACTGAAATATTTATCCATTTTATCATATAAAAATTATTATAATAGCATATCTACATCTTAAAATTCTTGATGCATCTACATCGCTAAAGAAAATAAATTTTGAATCTTATGCATAAAACGATAGTACCTTGCAACACTAGTTTCACACTGTCGCTTAATGGTGTACATAAATCATCAGCATCCTTTATATTATAACGTAAAGGTATGGTATTTGCCTACATTAAAATCTGGTTGCTTGTATGAGGTATAAGTGATTTGATACAAACTAATGATACCATAATAACAACTAATGAGTAATAACATCACATTTTAGTCTGCTGGATTTGCCAGTGGTATTTAGGGTGGCCCACATACATAAGTGTATTATAATCGACAATTAAGTTTTGTATTAAGTTTAAAAACATCAATATTATCAATGAACCCTAAATGTTTAAACTTTAAAAACATCGTCTGAAGGTTTTTTCATTACACAATTATTAGCGTTTACAATTTTTAATAATGTAATCACAGTCATACATGTTTTATTTCTTTTTCGTTATTAATACAATAAATCCATCTTTGTTTCGTAGTATTGCCTAAAACTATCTCTAAAACCAATTGACATATTGTTATTATTTTTTATCCGTTTCTTTTATTTCATAGTACATCAGTGCGTATTATTTTTAAATAGCAACATTTTATTGTGCAGAGCTTAAAAAAAAATAAATATTGACGTGTTAATTACGTCAATATTTAATTTAAAAACATCGTACACAACACAATTAAAGAGACAATCGAACCGATATCTTATTAATGATTTTATTAGGTCATATTTTAGATATTAAGAAAAAATCCTGTAGATCATAGTTTACCATTGAATATTTCTAGAAAATTTGATATTTTAACTTCATGACTGTAATACGAGAATAAATATCAAACACGATAGCTTGTAAGCATGATAAATTAAAGACAATTTTCTATCAGTGAAGTTGTATTCGAGCTGCAGACAACCGCAACGTGACATATACAGCAAATGACGTCTTAAGCTCGTTTATAGAATATACTCGATTTGTTTGTAAAATCCAATAAATTGCGATGCGTTTAAAATGTTTGAAATTGTTGTCGAGTATAATATATCCGTATATCCTGAATTGTTGCAGTTAGTGTGATAAGCGTTAACGGCACAGACCCACCGAGTCGTTTAAAAATTTCGAGATAAAGTGAAAATTTTAGAGAATATGCTGATACAAATAACATTTTTGAATAACATTAAAACACTTAAAATTTTATTGAAGTCTGGGTGTCCGATTTATTGTTTGCGCGTATAATGTACCTATAATTTATTCGTTACAGGCAATCAAATTTTAGTCGATCGAATCGAATTAATATCATCACTATATCTTAACGATAATAAAAATAATTATCAGTAAAATCATGTATAAAATATTATTCGTGTGACGCGATCGAGATATAAAAAAATGTAATTTTTAGAGGAAGAAAGCAAAAATGAAAAAAAAAAAAAAAGGAAACGCCGACGTCCGTCGCTGTCGGTTTTCTGCACAGGTATTATACATTACACCAATGGTAAATAAATTATAATAGTGTCTTTGAAATTCGGTCATGATCGGCGAGGCGCAAACGCAATTACCCGCTCTCTGTGTATCGAATCGCCGCTGCATCAGCGAAGTCAAAGTTACGGGCACAACCGTCACTGTCACCACTGTTGCTACTGGTATACGCGCCGCTGTATAAAGTATTTTATCGTCCGCATGCTGCTGCCATATATACTGAAACTACCACCGGTGACGGTGCAATATTAATTACTGCGACAACCCACCGCTGCCGGTCCGTGTGATCTGCTTGGGCGTTAATAAATGATTGATCGCAATGCCGTCGCGCGTCGTAGTCGACGTACAAGAAATAAAATTAAATAAAAAAAAAAAATGTCCGCGTACGAAACATAATAATTTTATTACACGTACCTATATATAATATACACTCTACAGCATGATAATAATATATCATAAACGTAATATCGTGACCGTAACACGACGATGGCATAGCTATGTAAGACACATATTATACGCACACGATAAAAGTTTTATTATATTCATTTTATAGGTAGGTAAGTACCTAATTTATAAGTATTTTCGCTATTCTCTGACAAGAGAACGTGCTGCTAAACGTCGTACTTATTTCGTCTGACCTATGAACAATATTCATAGTGAAACGTTCCGGTAAGGTAATCCAATATCGTAGTACCTAGGTTATTACAGTCCGAGTGGTTTTAAATACGCTTATTACCAAATTTTAAGGAATATTAAATATTATCAAGACGATATACTTTTTTTTATATAAAATATAATCTGACAAATAAGTTACGGCACTTGAACGTTTTCTCGTGTACTATAATTTATATTAGGTAATTGTAACGTATTAAATATATATATATATATATAATCTATAAGACAATTTATTGAATTTGGACAATAATTAATACAAAATCATCAAAGAATTTGTAATGCTTTATATACTTTTTTATCTGTAAATAAATTATCTATGGATCCTTTACATAAATACATACAATTAAAATGTTATATTAGATTGTATGATACGTATATCTACATAATATACCTATGTTATAATACGTATCATCATAAAAAATATACATTGCTACAAAAAAAACTTTACAGCGTTCTCACGATTTACATTTTATGAAATTATATTAGATCATTTATCGCGCAATAGCGATTAAAAATAGAACAATTTTTTTTTTTTTCATGAAATTCTCGTGACATAAAGTATTCCCCATAATCAGGCCAAGATATACATAAAGATATGTAATGGTTGACAATGTGTGACGTAACTATACGTTTGTATATATATATATCCTAAGACAACTTAACTTTGTGTGTGTATGTGTGTATGCCAAGTCATACGATACATTGTTATAAATTGCGATTTACTCAATTACGTTAAACGATTCAGTACAAAATCCCATTGAAAATCACGTTGTCATCCGTTTACATCTCTTAGAGTAAACACCTACACTCTACTTCATTATTGTTCTTAACATTTACGTTCCCACGGATAATTCAACGTGCATTACTTTTCACTGGCGGTTAAATATGACATTAGTCACCTGCTATTAATGCTGTTTAATATAATAAAAATTAAATACGAGTATAACATGGTACTTTAAATGTAATTTTATAATATTTAATTAAGAGTTTAAATTTTATTAATTCTTTTTTTTTTTCTATAGTGACTTTTGATAATATTTTGGTTGTGTATTAAAAATTAATTCCTTTACGTTTATAGTCAATTCGAGTCTCAGAGACTAAATATCCAGTTAAATTATTTACCAAAAATGTCTATATGACTATCGTAAAGCTATTTTTTTAAGCATTATTTTAGATAATTTAAAATTAAAATAATATAATTTTTAATATTTATTTCAATGTCACGGTATACGTATATTAATAAAACCAAGTAAAGGGAGTTTTACACTGTAGTTCCAAAAAAAATTAGAAATAGTTTAGACAATTTTACAACACACCATATTAAAAAATAAGAGGCACTTTTGTTAAGATGAACACATTTTAGATCCGATTATGTCAACAAGCATAAGATCGTAATGTTTACAGTACGATTAACTTGAACTATAAGTCAATTGCGATTTGCAATCGGTATAACGTAATATCAGTCAAAAAGTTCAAAAACGTATTAAAACTCGATGAACCGAATAAGATGTAGCAATAAAGTGTTAGAAAAAATGAAAAATATAATTTGAAATCATATATAGATTTTTTTTTAAAGTTGTTTTATTCTTTAATTCTATAAAATTAATTTATTTCTATAGATTCTAAAAATATCATGATATCATCAATTAAAATAAATATAACATTAATGTTAATAAAAATCATTGACATTATTAATGTTATTTTTTAAATAATTTATCTATTTATGATGGACAACCTTGGTTTAAAATAATATATTTATAATATGATTAGTGAAAATTTAAATACATTTTATATATTATAATTGAAATGATTGATAAATAAATATTATATTTTTACGTTTAAGATAATTATAATTTACATTGTAATTTATTTATTTTGTTTTTTTTTTTTGTTTTATTAAAATAATTTTAATACTAATTAATGGACATAACAAAAAAAAAAAAAAAAAAAAAAAACAATACGAAAATTTAAGAAAACCTTTACCCTAATAGTTATAGTTTCTTATAGTGAATGAACATCGTTTGACATTTTATTTCACATTTCTATATATTATTTTAATTAGATAACCATAGTTTATATAGCTAAAACGTAGAAATATCATGTAAATTACGTTGTAAAATACATATTGAATACAAAATTAACTAAATTACGTACAATGCAATCAGTTCAATTATTATTATTCTGTAAAGTGGTTTAAAAACCGTTAATTTATTTAATGAAATTAATTGAGATTAAAAAACGAAATAGTTTGGATGTTTAATAAAAAGTAAAATAATTACTGACGAACAGATACTTCTTTTTATTGAATCTTCAATTTATAATAAGGGTGAAATAATATATTATTATAATATTCATTTTTTTTTTTTTTTTTTGTTACATGATTCATCATAAACAATAAAACGAGTTTAAAAATAAAGCATTGCTGAAGAATTCTTTTGTGCTTTATGCATTGGCGTCTATATGAGAAAAGGCTCATGATTATAAATGTGCAATAATGTGGTATAGTTCCCATGTAATAAATTACTCATTACACAGCATGGTAGGTATTTATTTATTATTGCTCATAATGA